CTAAACGGAAAATTAATAAGAGTAATGCAAAGTATATACATAAATAGCAGTAATTGTGTTATAAATGGAAATTTAACATCAGAAATGTATAAGACCAAGGAAAGTAATCAGTCCCCTATTATTTACTATAGTTTCCCGCCGAAAACCAAAATGAGCTCCAAGACAACCAGAACATTTGGAACACAATTTTAGATGGAAATGGATTGGAGATTAATAACAACAAGACTAAAGTAATGTCAATTGCTCAAGAACAACTAGATTTGAAGACTAACATAGAAGGAGCAGAACTTGAACAAGTGCCACTATAGACCTACCTTCGTGTTCAGTAATATTTAAACCAATCCGTACCTACATATGGTAGTAAATCATGGACGCTCGAGAGAAGAGAAAAAAGTAAAATACAGGCAATAGATACGAAATATCTGCGCAAGGTAAATGGCATCACAAGAAGACATCATATACGAAACATAGTACGAAACGAAGATGTCAGGAAAGAGATACAAGTACGGTCGATAGTAGAAGAGAGCAAACAGATAAGTTGTTGGTGGGGACACCTTGCAAAGAATGGGCGATGAGAGACAAATCAAACAGATATGGGAAGAAAAAATCCAATACAAGAGAAGAGAGGAAGGGGCCGGCCAAGGCTATCGTGGGAAGATTCGTGGGAAGATGCGACCGACGAAATCGCATTTTCCCCGCACAGAATCAGTAATAACCCAAAAAGGAAGTGACTAATCCAAAAAATCTTTTGTCGTTCTGGTCTCGGGACTGTGGAAAAATTTGTAGGTATGTGACATATAAATTGTAATGTAAAAAAATGTATTGTAAACCGCAGTACACCTAACGGTAGAATGTCGTCTGGTACCTACATAATTTTTTTGGAAATCTATGCAACATAATTCAAAAAACCAAACTAAATAAAATAGAAATAGGTATTAAAGAAACAATTTAATATGCTGCCTCCATGCGCCTATAAGGACAGATAACGTAGTCGAGGTAACTCTTAAATATGTATTAATCCTGCATTGCGGCAGTAAATAATAAAACGTCCATCATGGCGATACCATTAACGTTATATCCAGCTTTCACCATAAGGTTAAATTTTAATATTGCGTCAAATAAAAAGTAAAAAATATATATAATTAATTCCATATAACTTCGCTAATAAAGCAGTAAAAATAATGTGCGCCATAAAACGAACTTATATATTAAAACAATAACGACCCAGATAATTGAATCGATACGTATAACCAAGAATATAAAAAATTTAATAACATAAATTTTATGTTTCTGAAAATGTGTTTGATTTCCTTGACTGTCAAGCAAGTTATTGCATTGAATTACAAAAATAATACGAACGGTAGAGAATAAGAAAGGTGGATGCATGGTCATACACAACACATTTAGAGAAAAGTATGCAAATAGAAGATTATCCCAGAGAAGCGCTATGGGTGAATCACAAACTAAAGAATTAGGAAGTACAAGTACATTAAAATACATCGCAAACAAACATAATGCAGACCCTTGATTTGATCATGTTTGCATTTATATAGGGGAGTTGCCCTGTACAGGAATAAGTCAAACTTGAAAACCGTATTATATCATTCTCTCCGCAATTACCCGTAATAAATTTGTTTAACACACAGTAGACTTTCGTTTATTTAACCTAGCAATCAGACGTAAAAATTATTTATTGTAAAGTTAGATGTAATGACAGGGAAGATAAACTATTATATAATTATAAATAAGCATCAATTGCTTATTTTTCCTACTATTCTGTTTTGTTTTTTCTTATGATATGCACGACTGGAGTTGAAATTGGCAAACTAACAACATCCGGAATATACGGCATACTTAAGAAGATATACGACTTCAAACACACGCTATATTAATATCGCAGATGTAATAATTACTCGTTGAAAGCTAAATTTGTACCTAAGGAATTTCTTCCAAAAAATCCAAAGAAAAGACCGATTTGTTTCGGATATATCTAATAAGAGTAGTCATGATATAACGCGCTACTCCGTGCTGTAAACAGTTAACAAATCTGGGTAACGTTTGCAGTTAATCGGCGCTTTGTATATTGTTATATGTGTAAACTGTTTTCTGATTGTGTAAACGAATTTTTTTATTTTTATTACACATAAAAAGCCAATAAAACCTTCGTCTATTTTGTTTAAATACAGTACAGTGGGCGAGACTTTCATTATTAACGTATAGTCGTAAGCATAAGGTGCAATTAAATTCCTCTATTAGTTTTAAAGAAACTTATTTCGGTGGTTACATATAGAAGTTATGTAAACAAAAAGTGTATTTTAAATCTACCAGGTTGAAATGAGCTGACAGCTGGCAGGCATCGATGTTCTCAAGGATGCGTCAGAATTGTTTCTGTTACTCATTAAAATTAACCAATTATATTGACGTTTACTAACAATACTTCAGCGAGTAATATAAACATGAATTCGAAAATTGATGTCATGCGCTGTATAATTTGTCCCTTTAGGGATATGCTTAATTGATAACGTATGAAAATTAATCTTAATCCTTTTCAAACGATGACATGCGAGATTTATTACATTACTAACATCGGATAGCAAATATAATTTGTTTCCCACTTCATTCTGAATCCCATGGCGTAGGTAGCAAAACCATTATCTGCCATTCATGTTTCGCCTTCGTCGATAGGTATTTTTGAAAGGTTAAATTTTAAGGTGACTTATAAGATACCTATGTACGGTCTAAACTCATCTCTTGCAAAGATGATCAAATAGAGTGAAAAGGACATCAAATTCTCTGCAGTTTTTCACCTGTGGACATTTTAATGCCATCAAATCTAGTTCTTTCGTTTGAATATTCATTATGTAATTTTATCTTCAATTTCCTTTCTCGTTTTATTGGTTTTGATGATACAGCAAACTTTCTTCACTCATTGCTACTCCAGTGCTAACCGCTTTCCAGTTTTTGATTTTTTTTGTTTCTTGGTCTGATGCATATTATATTTTTTTACTCTCGACTGTATTGAATCGCTGATGGATACAGAAAAATTAATCCTTGTTCAGATCCAATTGGTTGGCGATGACAATTGTGGTAGTTTTTGTTCACTTTATATCCAAATTGTTTTAAAATATTATCAAATGTTACTATTTTCATCCTCATAATTAAAAGAAACGGATTGAGTCTTTTCTTAAATCTTTATATTTCTCCATACAACATACTTTTTTGTTTAATGGAAATACCTACCTATCGTCATGTTTTGACACTTTTTGTTACTTGAATTAAGAATCTGAGCAAGAGGATACCGAAAAACTGATACTAAAGTGCGGCGCTCCGAGCCTCGTAGTCAAGAAAATATTAATATTAAAACAGGCTTCCGCAGAAAACAACGAAGCTATAATCGTTAAGTGAAGTCGGCGAAAAATAAAAATTACCTTTGAATTCTGGTCGAGCGGCCGTCTGAATTCAGAAGGGCGCGTTCAGCCTTTGCTGTGACAGAGAACAACACAAACAAGGGGTAGTGAATAGCGCGGCAATTAAAATATTGCGTAAGCAATTCTATCGTCTAACACGGAGGCAATCGGATATAAAAACTGTAATTGACACTCAAAAAGAATTACTTTATACCAGCAAAACCAAAATTTTGATCGACCACGAATGAGATAAGAGCATAAACGTGATGTTAAACTCAAGAAAAGTACTTTACGATGCTACTAATCTAATCAATTCAAAACATAAACAAGATAATATGACCCAATACTTCGGAGTAAAACAAATATCGTAACTAAAATCTTCGGTAACGACAAAAACAAAATGCGTAGCATCAGGTATAACGGAGCCATTTACAACATCGTTAATCTCCAAATGGGCTTCGTTAATACTTGCAGTTATGAACTATCTTGAAATCTCCAGGTATTATAAACAACTTCCCGGTCACAGGTAAAATCACATGTTTAATGTATGTAGAATTACATGTCGGTAATGCAGAAACTCACCCACAGTGTACGTTCGTCCACATTAATCTCGCTAAAATGGCGGGTCCACGTAAAAGGTAATCCATAAACTTAAGAGAAATAAGGAGAAAACTTTGAGGGTTGAGTATTGAGTGAAGAGAAAACCCATAACAAACGTAATAATGTACCACACCTCGTATTGTTTAAATGCAAATACATATTCGTAGAAACGATTCAATGGGGTCACTACAGACATCAGAAGAAAGAGAGTAACCACTCCAAAGGCAATATGCTAAAGCCAAAACAATAAATCCCTTACGGTAGAAACGAAGTCAGAAATGTAATGGCGTACCAAAATAACATTATGCATGTAACCAACGCGAAAGCGGAACTTCCACTGACGCGGAAGAAGTACAACTGCGCGAGCCAGAGAAGCTGTAAGAAGATAGAATTAAGTGCAGAAAGGTACAAAGCGTGCCCTCTAACAACAAGACAAAGAAGTAAATAAAAGAAACCTCCAAGACTAGGATAGCCTCTAAAGGCAAAACAAAGAACTATAGGTAATAAGAAATCTACACTAAGATATTATTATATTTACTGCAGGAATAACGAAGTACCTACGCCACCCACCAATTTGCATGAAACTCTTAAAATCCAGGATCGTAATTTGAATTCAAACTAATACAAAACTGTTCATTTAAATACAACACAAATTTACTCAATAATTGCAATAGTAAAAAAATGGTGACAGTGCCAGCGACAAGAAACAACGCATGCAAGCGATCGATAGAACAGGTTAAAAAAAGACTTAAATAAGGTTGATACTGTGAATAATTCAAAAATCAGTTGTACACTACCATGTAAATTAATCGAATACACCCACGAATACAAACACCAATCGGAAACTCAATTATTTTAATTTTCACAACCTCTTAATTTATCAAACGTTTTTTTAATAAAGTGTACTTCCCCTAAACTGACTGACTTGGAACAAACACTACTGTAATTACTTCAATAAAACGTCTCACGTTTAAAGGTCTAGCCACACATAAACGAGACGTGCACGATACGTGCACGAGACGAGTGTCGTGCGACGCTCGTTTTTAATTAATAGCACAGGTTTAAATACATTCAGCCTCACATGAACGTAACGAACACGAGACGACTACGAGATTCGGTTAACGACAACGAGCCGACGAGTTTTGTTTAATTTTTCTCGTGCCGGTGCCGCTGCGCGTATAGGTCCAGTATGTGTTTTTAGTGCAATTAGGTAGTAGGTACATAATTTCAGCGTCATTTGAATATTTACCTTTCCTAAAATGGATGTTGAGAAACTTATTGAAGAAGTGCGACGTTATCCCGTACTCTATGATCTCAGTAATAACAAATACAAAAATAATGAGTATAGAGAAAGGGTTTGGAAAAAAATTGCAGAAGATCTACAGGTAGAAGGTAAGTGAACCTTTTGATTTACTATTTTATTCAATTTTATTCTTATAAAGCTGTAGATATAATATTTTAGTCTATATGTAGATTGTGCCCTATAGGTCTGTTGCTTTGTGTTGCCATTCTACCTGACCTGCTGGAGATACAAAGTAGGTTCTAAGGAGATCTCTAACTTGAAATGCTGCATTTGTTGCTCTTCCTCTAGTCGGACGTAAGCTTTGTAAATTTTCGGACGTTTCTAACGTACTATCACCTGAATCTGATACTCGTGCAATATGGGCGTATCTCTCACGTTGTCTTATAAAATTGTGCAAGACACAGGTAGCTAATATAATAACTGAAAGGTTTTCAGGTGTGCCCTTCTTGCTCTTCTTGTATATATACGAAACTTTTGTTGAAGAATTCCAAAAGCATTTTCTGAAACTCTCCTTGCACGAGAAAGGCGATAATTGAAGATTTTTTTTCATTATCCAAGTTTGCTCCTGGATAAGGTCGCATTAAATAGGTTTTCAAAGGAAAGCCTTCATCACCAACAATTATCATGGGTAGGTCAACATCAGAACCTGGAAGCTTCTTGCCTCTTGGTATATTTATTGATCCATTTTCTAAAGACGTCCCAAGGTTTGAGTTGGAAAGTATGCCTGCATCAGAATTTTTGCCATAAGCCCCGACATCTACTGCAATAAAATTATACTAGAGCTAAAAGAACCAAAGAAAACGTCTTTTTGTAATTCCAATAAAGACTGCCGCTATTTTTAGGAGCTTGTATTACACAATGCTTGCCATCCAAAGCTCCGATGCAGTTAGGAAATTGCCACATTTTCCAAAAGTAATCTGCAATTGTATTCCATGTATCTTCATTAGGCACCGGCATAACCTCCTCTAAAAGAATGTCAACAATTATTCGGCATGTATGATGAATGATGGATTGCACAGTTGATCGACCCAATCTAAAGCTGAAAGATATTGTTTTGAAAGAATCCCCGGTTGCTAGGAATCTGGAACAAAAAAATAGTAAATTATATTATTATATTCATCGGTGATTGTTATGTAACTCATCATAAAATAACAGAGAAAATGTATATGGTTGTTTATTCATTGCAGGGGGGCCAATAACATGCAAAACAAAATGGATCCATATACGTGATCAGTTTCGCAGAATTTTAAAGAAAAGGAAAACTACAACAGGTATGGCTGCTGGCCCCGTAAGAAAATACAAATATGAAGATATTTTACAATTCATATTGCCCCAAATGTCTGAAAGAGAAACTTTATCAAATGTATCCCAGTTACAAGATGAAGATGCGGAAGGTGATGAAGATGATATAGAAGAGACCCAAGAGAGTGATACACTCCTTGCAGAAAATGACGAGTTGGAGAAGACAATAGAAAATGCTGAAAGAAACGCAAGCAATGATTCATTCATTCCCGAAGCCCATACACAAAAAGAAAAAGATTTCTGCTAACACAATCGATAAACGTCAAGATCAAAGTGCTTCATCTCAGCTGATGTCATATATTTTGGAAGAAAAGAGAAATGAAAGGCAGAAGCAACCTCCACCATCTTCTGAGCAGCTTCATCCAGTTGATGCATTTTTAAACGGCGTATCACACACATTGAAAGCCCTGAATCCAATACTCTTAAATGAAGGGAAGACAAAGATTTTTGGCATCGTTCAAGAGCTGGAAAGAAAGCAACTCCTGGATAATCAGTCAAAGGTTGTGCTACCTTCCCAAGTTCGAGTTGTTCACGTACCTCAAGCGTCACCACTAAGTACTTACTCTTCACCTAGTTCTTCTTATGCTTCCACCCCACTTCCTTCCCCTCAATACAATCTACCACTGCCTTCTCCAGAATATAATAACGCTACTCAATCAGAAATGCAGCAGAGCGACCAACACCACCAGCCACCATGGTATTAAATCATAAATGTAATATGTATGACAAGGTTTTTTTTTCAAATAAACGTTAATAGAGCGGCCATATATTACTTGTAATCAGAGTGGATATATTTAGACCTACTTCATGCAAAAAATATACGAACAAAATACTCACCTCAATCTAACTGCTAACCGCTGTTTAGGTTCAATTGCAGATCTCCAAAATGTATCTTGTTTTTTTAACTGATTTTCTACTTTTCCTAATAGATCTTGAAACGTTGCCTGTGTCATCCTAAAATATTCGTAGAACTTTGTTTCATCGTCTAGTAAATGTGGATACAGTGTTATAAATTCCCCTTCTGTATCCCTACTTTTCCAGGCATTATGGACCCATACTTTCTTCTTTGATTGAGTTTTATAATTATCCTGTTCATCTAGTGCCAAGGCTATTATAGCCAATTCAGTACTAGTAAAATTTGAAAACATCACTGAACCCTCAAACTAGGTTAGGTATACTATCGCTCGCAACGGGTCTACGTTACAGTGTGACTGGGACGTCAAGGGACGGAGCTCGTGCCGGCACTCGTATCGTACACGTCTCGTTTATGTGTGGCTAGACCTTAATTCACATAAACGGCAAAAACACGACAACGGCAAACAAAACAAAAGGCGAACGCGGTAAGAAAATCACGGCGCGGCGGCCGCAGGCTAACCGGTCACGTTACTTTCTCATGTATTTAGCACATTTACCTCCTTTTCATTCCACTTCTTAATTCAAAATACGAACATTCTCGTATTCACGTATGTCAAACAGAGTCTCCCTCTGTGGTTTCCAAACTCCCCTGCATGCCTCGTCGCCCCTCAGACGTTATCCGTCTTCTGACAATATGGCTCCTTCATACTTTTACCCCAAGCAATGTTACACAATTGACAAATTAAGTTTCGAACTGCATTGTCTTGATCATCAGAGAAAAAAAGATGCGGATGGTGGTCCGCTGGACTCAATCTTCATCCTGTTTTGTTTCTTGAAACAAAGCTCCCCCTTGAACTTGAACTGCTTCTCGCATCTGGCGTATAGTATAATCAGATTTCCTTTCCTCAGAAAAACCTGCTGATGAAATTGAATTTCTGTATTTTGTGAGTCTTTTGATTAACCCAAAGTTCCTGTCGTCGACTTATTTTCCTTGTTCGTGTCAATGTAAAACTATCCCTTCGACGAGTAGACTCATTTCTTATGAATTCTGATAGAAAAACTGACTCGAGGCTTGACTACCTTAACGTGTGAAAGCAGGTGACTGACTGGTTTGGTATGATTGGTTTTAACTTGAATGGATGCGACTCGACTGGACTGACTTGGTGCGAAATGTTAAACTTTCGACATTCAAGCACAATCGTTTCTAGACGAAGATTTTTTAGTTTTGATAAACGGGGTTGCCAAAATACCTGAGTGTGATCATGATGGAATTGCGTTTAAAAAAGCATTTGACAAACATCAAGAAGAGTAATACATTTCCGTATTCGTAGCATCAACCAATTTCAAGGGCTCTACCCAATTCAACTTTTGGTTAAATTTTCAATCGGCAGACCATGAAGTAGTAGCGTTATTTATATTTACAAATCAATCTTCACAACGTTTCAAAATTACAAACTTCACACGATGGCCAGATGTTAATACTACACGGCTTTTGAAAACAAAAACGAGTCAACTGAAGTGTAAATTAATGTATGTACCTACTTAAAATTAATTATATACGAAAATGTAGGGTACGGCAACACCTTTCCTCACAGAAATCTCATAGTGCAGAAACACAATGTTGACGGGTAAGTACATTATACAGCAGGAGTTTGTTTTAAAACATTGAGGAGAATACTGATAGAAGTAAGGCTAATAAATAAACATCAGTCGTTATTCAAACTTAAAAGTAGAACATTTTGCAATATGTGGTGTATCTAATTGTTTTGAATCAATTAATTAAGGTAGACAAGATTGGAGTCGATTTGTAAATCATTTTTTTGCAACATTAAAGAAAGCTTTAAATAAATATTATGTGTGGAACCGAATGTAAATTAAGTCACCCACAATCAATTTATGCAGACGTTCACACATAATTTCATCATAAATTAATTAAAACGGTGCCACGAAATAAATAGAAAAGTTCAAAGTCAAGGTTTTCGACTTAAGTCGAACTGTACAGGAAACCGGGTACAATTTTTTCGGGTGCACAAATAGGGTTAAAGTGATAATTTTGAATGATGCCTGTATATTTTTACGTCGTTGGGTGCGGGCATCACTCATCGAACATCAATCAACACCTTAAGGTTGTTCAAATAAACCGACAGATTTGGAAACTGTTACACCATCCATATTTACACGTCTAACATTCTTTTGGGAAAGTCGAACATCCTCTCAAGACTGCATTCACTCGACCACATAACAAATGTTTGGATCCTCCGTAATCGTTAAGGACAATTGAATTAATTTAGATCGGCTAGTTTAGAGTTTCGGATTTAACATGACAGTATAATGAGCATTATTAATATTATCACAATGAGCTCTTATAAAACGGGGGTAGGGCTCCAATTATAATTTTCATAAGTTTGATTGACATTTCATGTCATAAAAAACTCGATAAATAATAATAGCACAAAGAACATGAATAAACTAACAATAGATTCTCATAGAAATAGATCGCTATGTTTAGAACACTGGAAATAATCGGCCCTTTTTTTCTATACATAATTGGCTCGGTTATTCGAAAACACTAAAACCGTTTTCTTCACTCAAGGCTTTTTCAGACTATTATTCCATTGTAATGTGCGTGAAATTGTCAGATTTACAAAGCGTAAGTAGAGGTACACATACGAATTAGAATAGGATCAATCAAGATTGCAGAAGTCACATGAGTGCTCTTTGATCTTAAAATAGCGAAAGTAAAAGTTTAAAATTGACGTGGAAGGAAGAAAGGCATTTTTTTATATTACTCACTCTTCGTTGGCCTGTACACAATAGACATTTGTTTTGTACTAAGACAGTTTGAGGATTTATACTTACACAAAATCTTGGAAACGTGCATATTATTTTAAACTACATTTAGAGGAAGAGGAACATTGCAATGTTTGTTAATTATATTGATAAAGAAAGTAGGAAACCAAAACGAAGTAAGTTGAATCCTTCAATTTAATTCCCCGTAATTTATTCGTCGAAATCCTATTAATATGCAGTGGTATGCGGAAAGACCACCATCTCAATTCTTCATAAAGAGGAGCGCATGTTACTTAATTAATTTAGATGCACTGTTATGGGAGCAATGTGAAGTTTTACGCTACCTACTTTATTTATATTTATTAGTATAGCATGTAACCATGGTAGATCTATAAGGTTAGTGATTCAACGCATGCAAGAGAAGGAGACCCGGAAATATTTATCGAGCTAAAGGTCAGTATAGTATCTCACGGCACTCCTAATTTGAAATCAGATTCGACTACTAATCTAATTACAAATTTTGAAAACTCAAAAAGACTATCTTATCAGATATGCCACCCCACTAATTTTTTGCATTTTTAAAGGCAATAAGCAAATTGTAACGTACGACCAATTACGCAAACACAAAGTAATTGAAAATCAAAAAAAATTCCTAATCGCCACATCGCTATTGTATCCGAGACGAGATTCAAACCAAAACTAATCAATCTACTTTAAGGAATTAAATATTGTAAGGAACGAACGCGATTATGGCTACGGAGGAATAGAAATTTTTACCAGGACGGAGGAATTCATTACCATCATTAAATAGGGTACGAACTTATCTCCATTGCGATGATTTTCTTCGCAAAATTGAGCAATCAGGTTTTCAAAGTTCGGTTGGCAGATTCTACGTGTCAATAAGAAGGTTTTTAAAATGTCGGCTGTCATACTGTCCCTCATTACCGGTTATCAAAATTTTTGGGGTACCATAACGGGATATAACTTCCTCAAATGAAGCTTGAGAAATGGCGTGGTGGCTTTGCGGACGGCTCTGAAACATACCCATTTGGTGAAGAAACGGTCTTGGAAAATGCGCAAGTATTGGTTTCCTTTGGAGGAACGTGGAACTGGGCTTTAATTATTATTAAAAAAATCAAAATAAACTATAATAAACGGCATCATATCAAAGAATCACTGGAATTAGTGGTGGGCGCAAGTAGTTCCGATGAAGGGGAAGGGCATCGGCAACACGGTTACAGTACACCTCTTCGGTATTCGATCTCGAAATCGTACTGCTGCAGGAATATACTCCATCTTGCTGGAATGTAGGCAACGCAGATCGCAGACTGATGATCGGATAGTATGGTGAAATAATTGCGTTATAGATAAATTGATTCGCCTTTCTTTGAGTGTTTGGAAAGCACAATGTTGAAGTTCACCCCAAGTCTATTTTTGGTTCTTTCGGAGGAGTTTGGTCAGTGGAGCTGGGGCTACGATGTTATAAAAATTCGGAACGAAACGAAAGTACCAGGATGTTACTTCAAGACATCTTCTGATGGTTTTAATTTTGTGGGGCGTCAGTAATTGTCTGGATCGGTTTCAAGACGTGGCACAAATATTTCAGAGACGGACTGCAAAATTGACATTTTCGGCGTTAATTTTCAGACTGACCCAACGGAGACGCCGGAAAACTTCTCCCAAGTTTTGTAAGTGCGCAGTGCTCCAGATGTGGGAACGTCTGTGGCTATCAGACAGTCCAAAAGCCGTTGAAACGTGGCTGGTGTGTAATCCAAAAGGCATTACTTTAAACTGAACAAGTCTTCGGCCGGCTATGGTGAAAGCGGTGATGGGTCGACTTTCCTTGGTCAGAGGCATCTGCCAGTAACCTTGTTTCAAATCCATGCTCGAAATGTAGCGGATTTGACGAAGGCGGTCAAGAATCTCATTTATGCACTGTAACGGATAGGCATCTTCAATAGTAACTTCATTGACCTTACGGAAAATAATACAGAAACACATCTTGCCATCTTTGTTTCAAATCATGATGATCGGCGAACTCCACGGACTTTCAGACGGCTCGATGATATTTTCGGCCAGACTGCCATCCACTTCTTCGTTCTTGTAATTCCGC